GTGTATTGTGTTAATAGGTTACCCACTTTGTATTGTGTTAATAAGTCACTCACTGTGTTTTGTGTTAATAGGTCACTCACTGTGTATTGTGTTAATAAGTCACTCACTGTGTATTGTGTTTGTAGGTTACTCTCTGTGTATTGTGTTAATAGGTTACCCACTTTGTATTGTGTTAATAAGTCACTCACTGTGATTTGTGTTAATAGGTCACTCACTGTGTATTGTGGTAATAAGTCACTCACTGTGCATTGTGTTAATAAGTCACTCACTGTGTATTGTGTTTGTAGGTTACTCACTGTGTATTGTGTTATTAGGTTACTCACTGTGTATTGTGTTAATAAGTCACTCACTGTGTATTGTGTTAATAAGTCACTCACTGTGTATTGTGTTAATAGGTCACTCACTGTGTATTGTGTTAATAGGTTACCCACTGTGTATTGTGTTAATAAGTCACTCACTGTGTTTTGTGTTAATAAGTCACTCACTGTGTATTGTGTTAATAAGTCACTCACTGTGTATTGTGTTTGTAGGTTACTCACTGTGTATTGTGTTATTAGGTTACTCACTGTGTATTGTGTTAATAAGTCACTCACTGTGTATTGTGTTAATAAGTCACTCACTGTGTATTGTGTTAATAGGTTACTCACTGTGTATTGTGTTAATAGGTCACTCACTGTGTATTGTGTTAATAGGTTACTAACTGTGTATTGTGTTAATAAGTCACTAACTGTGTATTGTGTTAATAAGTCACTCACTGTGTATTGTGTTAATAGGTCACTCACTGTGTATTGTGTTAATAGGTCACTCACTGTGTATTGTGTTAATAGGTTACTAACTGTGTATTGTGTTAATAAGTCACTAACTGTGTATTGTGTTAATAAGTCACTCACTGTGTATTGTGTTAATAGGTCACTCACTGTGTATTGTGTTAATAAGTCACTCACTGTGTATGTGTTAAAAGGTTACTCACTGTGTATTGTGTTAATAAGTCACTCACTGTGTATTGTGTTAATAAGTCACCACTGTGTATTGTGTTAATAGGTTACTCACTGTGTATTGTGTTAATAGGTCACTCACTGTGTATTGTGTTAATAGGTTACCCACTGTGTATTGTGTTAATAAGTCACTCACTGTGTTTTGTGTTCATAGGTCACTCACTGTGTATTGTGTTAATAAGTCACCACTTTGTATTGTGTTAATAAGTCACTCACTGTGTTTTGTGTTAATAGGTCACTCACTGTGTATTGTGTTAATAAGTCACTAACTGTGTATTGTGTTAATAAGTCACTCACTGTGTATTGTGTTAAAAGTTTACTCACTGTGTATTGTGTTAATAAGTCAGTCAGTCAGTGTATTCTGTTAATAGGTCACTCACTGTGTATTGTGTTAATAGGTCACTCACTGTATATTGTGTTAATAAGTCACTCAGTGTATTGTGTTAATAAGTCACCTCACTGTGTATTGTGTTAATAGGTCACTCACTGTGTATTGTGTTAATAAGTCAGTCAGTCAGTGTATTGTGTTAATAAGTCACTCACTGTGTATTGTGTTAATAGGTCACCACTGTATATTGTGTTAATAAGTCACTCAAATGTATTGTGTTAATAAGTCACTCACTGTGTATTGTGTTAATAAGTCACCACTGTGTATTGTGTTAATAAGTCACTCACTGTGTATTGTGTTAATAGGTTACTCACTGTGTATTCTGTTAATAGGTCACCACACTGTGTATTGTGTTAATAGGTTACCCACTTTGTATTGTGTTAATAAGTCACTCACTGTGTTTTGTGTTCATAGGTCACCTCACTGTGTATTGTGTTAATAAGTCACTCACTTTGTATTGTGTTAATAAGTCACCACACTGTGTTTTGTGTTAATAGGTCACTCACTGTGTATTGTGTTAATAAGTCACTAACTGTGTATTGTGTTAATAAGTCACTCACTGTGTATTGTGTTAATAGGTTACTCACTGTGTATTGTGTTAATAAGTCACTCACTGTGTATTGTGTTAATAGTTTACTCACTGTGTATTGTGTTAATAAGTCAGTCAGTCAGTGTATTCTGTTAATAGGTCACTCACTGTGTATTGTGTTAATAGGTCACTCACTGTATATTGTGTTAATAAGTCACTCACTGTGTATTGTGTTAATAAGTCACTCACTGTGTATTGTGTTAATAAGTCACTCACTGTGTATTGTGTTAATAAGTCAGTCAGTCAGTGTATTGTGTTAATAAGTCACTCACTGTGTATTGTGTTAATAGGTCACTCACTGTATATTGTGTTAATAAGTCACTCACTGTGTATTGTGTTAATAAGTCACTCACTGTGTATTGTGTTAATAAGTCACTCACTGTGTATTGTGTTAATAGGTTACTCACTGTGTATTGTGTTAATAGGTCACTCACTGTGTATTGTGTTAATAAGTCACTCACTGTGTATTGTGTTAATAAGTCACTCACTGTGTTTTGTGTTAATAGGTCACTCACTGTGTATTGTGTTAATAAGTCACTCACTGTGTATTGTGTTAATAAGTCACTCACTGTGTATTGTGTTAATAGGTTACTCACTGTGTATTGTGTTAATAAGTCACTCACTGTGTATTGTGTTAATAGTTTACTCACTGTGTATTGTGTTAATAAGTCAGTCAGTCAGTGTATTCTGTTAATAGGTCACCACACTGTGTATTGTGTTAATAGGTCACTCACTGTATATTGTGTTAATAAGTCACTCAGTGTATTGTGTTAATAAGTCACTCACTGTGTATTGTGTTAATAAGTCACTCACACCAGTGTATTGTGTTAATAAGTCACTCACTGTGTTTGTATTGTGTTAATAAGTCACTGTATATTGTGTTAACAAGTCACTCACTGTGTTAATGTCATTGTGTTAATAAGTCACTCACTGTGTATTGTGTTAATAAGTCACTCACTGTGTATTGTGTTAATAAGTCACTCACTGTGTATTGTGTTAATAGGTCACCACTGTGTATTGTTGTGTCAATAACTGTGTATTGTGTTAATAAGTCACTCACTGTGTATTGTGTTAATAGGTCACTCACTGTGTATTGTGTTAATAAGTCACCACTGTGTATTGTGTTAATAGAGTCACTCACTGTACGTGTGTTAATGTGTCAGCCAATAGGTCACCACTGTGTATTGTGTTACTGTGTATCACTGTATATTGTGTTAATAAGTCACTCACTGTGTATTGTGTTAATAAGTCACTCACTTGTGTTAATAAGTCAGTCAGTCAGTTGTGTTAATAAGTCACTAACTGTGTCAATAGGTCACTCATGTATTGTGTTAATAAGTCACTCACTGTGTATTGTGTTAATAAGTCACTCACTTGTTGTGTTAACAAGTCAGCTCCACTGTGTATTGTGTTAGTGGAGTCACTCACTGTGTATTCTGTTAATAGGTCACTCACTGTGTATTGTGACCCACTTTGTATTGTGTTAATAAGTCACTCACTGTGTTTTGTGTTCATAGGTCACCACTGTGTATTGTGTTAATAAGTCACTCACTTTGTATTGTGTTAATAAGTCACTCACTGTGTTTTGTGTTAATAGGTCACTCACTGTGTATTGTGTTAATAAGTCACTCACTGTGTATTGTGTTAATAGGTCACTCACTGTGTATTGTGTTAATAGGTTACTCACTGTGTATTGTGTTAATAAGTCACTCACTGTGTATTGTGTTAATAGTTTACTCACTGTGTATTGTGTTAATAAGTCAGTCAGTCAGTGTATTCTGTTAATAGGTCACTCACTGTGTATTGTGTTAATAGGTCACTCTGTATATTGTGTTAATAAGTCACTCAGTGTATTGTGTTTAATAAGTCACCACTGTATTGTGTTAATAAGTCACTCACTGTGTATTGTGTTAATAAGTCAGTCAGTCAGTGTATTGTGTTAATAAGTCACTCACTGTGTATTGTGTTAATAGGTCACTCACTGTATATTGTGTTAATAAGTCACTCACTGTGTATTGTGTTAATAAGTCACTCACTGTGTATTGTGTTAATAAGTCACTCACTGTGTATTGTGTTAATAAGTCACTCACTGTGTATTGTGTTAATAGGTTACTCACTGTGTATTGTGTTAATAGGTCACTCACTGTGTATTGTGTTAATAGGTTACTAACTGTGTATTGTGTTAATAAGTCACTAACTGTGTATTGTGTTAATAAGTCACTCACTGTGTATTGTGTTAATAGGTCACTCACTGTGTATTGTGTTAATAGGTCACTCACTGTGTATTGTGTTAATAGGTTACTAACTGTGTATTGTGTTAATAAGTCACTAACTGTGTATTGTGTTAATAAGTCACTCACTGTGTATTGTGTTAATAGGTCACTCACTGTGTATTGTGTTAATAAGTCACTCACTGTGTATGTGTTAAAAGGTTACTCACTGTGTATTGTGTTAATAAGTCACTCACTGTGTATTGTGTTAATAAGTCACTCACTGTGTATTGTGTTAATAGGTTACTCACTGTGTATTGTGTTAATAGGTCACTCACTGTGTATTGTGTTAATAAGTCACTCACTGTGTATTGTGTTAATAGGTCACTCACTGTGTATTGTGTTAATAGGTTACCCACTTTGTATTGTGTTAATAAGTCACTCACTGTGTATTGTGTTAATAGGTCACTCACTGTGTATTGTGTTAATAAGTCACTCACTGTGTATTGTGTTAATAAGTCACTCACTGTGTATTGTGTTTGTAGGTTACTCACTGTGTATTGTGTTATTAGGTTACTCACTGTGTATTGTGTTAATAAGTCACTCACTGTGTATTGTGTTAATAGTTTACTCACTGTGTATTGTGTTAATAAGTCAGTCAGTCAGTGTATTCTGTTAATAGGTCACTCACTGTGTATTGTGTTAATAAGTCACTCACTATGTATTGTGTTAATAGGTTACCCACTGATATGCAGGAGCCACGATGATTACTCACTCACTTTGTATTGTGTGACTCACTCACTTCCTCACTGTTGCAGGAGCTACGACGACTACATTGAAGGCTTTGGCAACTTCTCTGGAGAGTTCTGGCTGGGCCTTGAGATCATGCATCAGCTGACCATGGTGGAGCCCTTTGACCTACGAATCGATCTTGAGAGCCGATCAAGCAAGTTCTACTACGCCGTCTACTCTGGCTTCAAGGTCGGCAATGAAGACGAAGACTACCGACTCGATTTCACGAACAGAACCAGCGGAAACACCCGAGACGGGCTTCGGCACAACAAAGGTCGTGGGTTCTCTGCTCGGGACCATGACCGAGACGCATGGCGCAGTTACAGCTGTGCCAATCATTATCGATCTGGATTCTGGCTGGATCGATGTGGATCCGATCTGAACAGGGATCCGACTAAAGGTGTATTCGGTGGTACAAAATGGGGAGGTCGGTACGTTAAAAGTTCTCTGATGAGGATGAAACCGGCAAGATCAATGAGGCCGAAAGACTTCAATGCATCTCCTTGAATTAGCACCAAGGAGGTTGAAAATTGAAACTATTTTTTAAACATGTTGACAATTGTTGAAATTAAATGACTGTTCTTTAGCGATCATCTTACACTTCATCTAATCAATACTTATTGTTCCAACTTGACGGCTTTGTATACACAACGTTGGTCAACCACCAGTGTTCACAGACCGAGATGTAGCGTGACCCTTGGCTATTTTAAGTCATCCAATGAAAACAGGCCATGCACTTCTCTCGCGAGATAAATATACCGTACTCCGTGCACAGTCTTGTGAGAACCCTACGGGGCTCATCTATATGCAATGTGCAAAGTAGTACATGTTGAACGAGACATATGGCCTTACGTGCGATGTTATCTAAGCGCTCATTGGTCACAGCCCTGTCGCGCACTCCGGAATGTGCCGAAAACAGAGTCAATGCTGCAAAGCGACCGTAATTACCCACGGGTGACGATCGAACGCTGAGTATACAGAACCGTGATGTATTGAAATCAAATCTAGTTACCTACAGTCTGCCAACATAAGGCAGCTTTGTCACATACGATAGTAAATATATTTGGCCGTTTAGGTGTATAAATCTAGGAAATGATTGTAAACTTTGCTGGTAATTCCCCCAGAAACGGTGATGTCCCGTTATTTGCCCTAACTTGGAGGAAGAACTGTTATAACGCTATGTGATCTTGTGTGCACAATATATAGCAATAGTGGTATCTATTCCATATCATTCTTTGTGATAGATCTCTGTCAGAGGTCATTATAATATCGACCATTACTTTAAGTCCGATATGACAAAGCGTAGGACTGTGTTATGCATTATCAACTTGAATATGCAAGTGCAATAATTAAAGTTGCTATTTATGTGACAGATTCAGTTGTTTTTTTCTGTTTTGCATGTGAATTTGTTCATGCTACTATTTCATGTATAGGGCGGTTGGGTAGCCTAGAGGTTAAAGTGATCGCTCGTCACGCCGAAGACGCGGGTTCGATTCCCCACATGGGTACAATGCGTTAAGCCCATTTCTGGTGTCCCCGTCGTGATATTGGTGGAATATTGTTAAAAGTGGCGTAAACCTAAACTCACTCATGTATATGGTATTTAGATATTACATGAGTGACGGAAAACTCTTGTATTATGTATGCAGAGTTGCGTCCCTTGGCGTGGCAGGATTTGACGATACATCACGTCCAAGCGACATTCGGTAATAAAACTGAAATATTGTTCACTCACTCACTAATACATTCAGAATACTGAGTGTATAGCAGTGAAGTAACAGTATTTTCAGTTTGGTAGTACCATCCTGTAGACTGTGCAATGTCAAACTGTTTTAGATTAAATAACGGAATCTATGCATTTCGAGACCTATAATAGAACGCTTTTTCCTCAAACACTTGCGGTGCGGTAGGGTAGCCTAGTGGTTAAAGCCCCGTGGCGAAGACTCGGGTTCGATTCCCTACATTAGTGCACTAGACTAAACGCCAAAAGAAACGTTACCCTCCTTCCTTAGTGACGGAGGTACCTATCTTCAGCTGGCGTTGTGATGCGTGGACGTCCACTTCTTGGTCTGTCTACGGTGACCCCAATCTGTCTGAAGCCCTGAATAAGTCTTATAACCGTGATACGGTGGCATCCGAGGGCGTTGGCAACAGCATTGTATGTCGACCCCATCTGCACCATCCCCATGGTTCTTTCTTTCTTCAGCTGTTAATCGTGGCATATTTCTCGTACTTGTGTATAATACCATGCATGATAGTCTCTCTTTATACTCTATAGAATCATTCTACACGTGAAATTGATGCAAATACTGCTTGAATATTGCTACGTTTTGGCGATTGATATTGTTATGTGTAAACAGAAAATGGAAAAATGATACTGTGCAAGCAAAAATGTTAACAAAGATAATTTAAGATGTTCCTAAACATTTTTTCACAATACCAAAGACGCGTTTTACTTGTTTTCACTAATGCATATCAGCAGAAAATGTTTTAAAAGACTGAAATCATACAAATGATTATTTTACACTTTTACACACTCTACAACAATTGTTTCTTGTTTAATAGTTGAAAAATGATGAATTTAAATGGTTTATCTTTGTCTCAAAGCAGAATTTTATTTCAACCTTTCTTTTGGACATCTGAATGACCGTTATTGGTTTATTTCGGCATGGACGATAATAGGACAATTTAACTCTTCTGAAAAGGATGCATTTCACCTAAATATGAATGCATTTGAGAATTTCTTTTCGTGATTTACATAAAGCTGTGGTATTAAGCTTTCTTGTAAACTTATACCTTCTAACATATCTTTGATAGTTTTTAAGTAATTCATAAAGGTAGGAGGGTAACGTTTCTTTTGGCGTTTAGTGTATGTGAAGCCCATTTCTGGTATTCCCCGTCGTGATATTGGTGGAATGTTGCTAAAAGCGGCTTAAAATTAAACTCACTCATTCACTCCTCCTAATTAGGAGTGTATCTCAGTAGGCTAGCCCTATACAACTAGCTTAAGTCTGGGCTAGTACAAGCAGCCGCACATACACATACACACGCATGCACGTCGTCATATGAGCGAAATATTCTCAAGCACGACGTTAAAACCCAATTTCACACCTAATTAGGAGTAGGACAAATGCCGGCGTTGACAATGTCTGGAGAACACTCATTTTCAATTTTGTTTTATTGAGATAAGACAAAACTTTATTTTCCAAAGGGAAGTGTTGGTTTCATCGGGACTGTACTTTTAACATGATACATAAATTACACCACACGGCATATATGAACGAAGTTAAGCATGTAGGGTTTCTTACAGCACTAAAATAAACAGACCTAATGAATTCCAAAGCTAATAATGACCATTTCTCACTTTCGCAATTCACAGATCCAAAAAGTAATAAAGCATGTTGATGCAACGGCTTTTGTTTCGGAAACAACAATGAGAGTGTTTATTGGCTTCCGAATCGATTGGAAGCACCTTGGCGACCCAGCCATCCTCAAAGCACTGTCGGCATCTGAGAAGAGAAGTGAAGATAATTACTATCATTGTCCTCCAAGCCATAACTAGCGTGAAGAAGATTACCATTAGAGGAATGTCCTAGCGGTTAAATTGAATCAGAAGTTAATACTTCTAAGACAGTGAAAATCAAAGGGCTTTTGAATATAATTTTACGCAGTGTCAATCCAACTTCAAAAGACAAAGAAACTCGGATGGATTATTTGATAAAGAATAAAGAAAACCTTATGATTTTCGTTTGGTATAAAGTATATTTACATAGTCCATTAGGGTAAATAACGTTCAGAGCCAGTCCTTTTATTGAAGAGTGTTGGTTGGTCTTTTGTTTGTGCCAAGAAGGTTGGATTTGTGTCTATCCTTGCATCATTAGGGATTGATTGATTGATTGGTTGGTTGGTTGGTTTGTTGACTGATTTATTGGTGAGTGAGGTAGTGAGTGGTGAGTGATTGAGTGATTGAGTGATTGAGTGATTGAGTGATTGAGTGAGTGAGCGAGCGAGTGAGTGAGCAAACGCTTTAGCCAGTAGGATACCCCACCGCCCCAGTTTGTGAACGGAAGCTGTGACACCAGATTTTCCTTCAACGTGTGTGTAAGCGAAGTCTAGTTCAAGAACAATCTGAGGATGCTTGTCACAATACGTTCCCAGTAATAGAAGCGGCGTTATGGTTCGGTGTGTCAGGCAAAACGATAGCGCGTCATCGTAACCGGATCTGCTTTGATCCGTGCTCCTAACATCAATCTCTGGTTTGTCGCGATTTTTGCCCACCGTCACATGTTTGGATTGTACTTGTGGGTAAACGTTTCTGTATTCTGAAACAATATTTACCATGCTCATCAGTATCCTTGTAGTTCCTGGTTTTCGCCAATCTCACCTGAAGCATGTTTCTTTTTCCATTTCAATCACATCCCGCCATGACATGAGTGATGTTCTGGGATTAATGCTAAAATCTGTGTAAAATGTTAGCCGCACATTTTACCAAGCTAAACATTTTTCCAAATTTTACAATTTTACAAACAGCTTGTCTTGTTTGAGAGCATACCTGCAGACGAGTGGATGTACAATTAATATATCAATATAGTGAATATATCCATCGTAGTGATTATTTTTTAAATTTAGGGGTCACAGATGACCAATTTGACAGTTTGACCAAAGCATTAATGTGAACACTTTACAGATGTGCTCATATGGATTAAAGGATTAACGTGTCCTTTCCCTTTCACACTTGGACCGCCATATAGCTGGAATATTGCTGAGTGCGGCGTAAGACTAAACTCACTCACTCATTCACACTTGGACTTACGCATGCTAACAGAATACATATGTAATGGATTCCGTTTAACATTTTACGGGGACACCTGACAAGTGCATTTCATATCTCAAGATGAACTGTACAGTCTTCATTTGAACTGTACCGCGAGTTTGTACAGTCTTCATCGCCCAGGGATGTGTTAATGAATCTAGTGTTCACTTCGCTATCTACAGCCATGAGAATGAATACATTCTTGTAATGAATGGCGCATTATGATTTGACTACATTTAGCTTGTGTCTTAAAATAAGCACATTTTCTCATAAAGAAATTCTTTGTACATCGTCCTTTCTTTGTACAAAAACGTTCTTCAATCCCTGGATACTTCTTACAGTCCGTTTGGCTCTAAAGCGGACCGATGAATTGCAATCTAACTCGAAAACTGATAAATATATAATACTCAATGAAACACTGTATATAATCAAAACATCAGACCAACTCTGTGATTTTTTTTGCAGAATTTATGTCCTAAAAATAAAAAGAAGATTTTTTTTTAACAGTTGTTAATATTAAAGTATTGGCACAGTTCACTGTTTGTTACGAGGGAGGAGTGCAAAGAGAGGAACAGCCAGGTGTGCGAAAAGCACGTGCACAAGTGCCGACAAAGTTATTGATTCATTAACCTGTGAAGGGGCAGTATCAAAACTAATGAAAGAAGAAAACTTTGATTCGTTGTAAACAGAACTTGTTCAGAATGCTATTTGGAGGTTATATGATAAAATTGTATTGATAGTTTGGTAAACAACATTTTTTATATTTAAGACATAAATTCTGCAAAAAAATCACAACCGCTTTTGAGCCAAACGGACTGAAAACACTAAATACACCTCCAGACAATGAAATGGGCAGTCCCGTCCGTAAAGGTTGCTTTGTAGCACACGATCACGCCCAAACAAGTCATCTTGTTAAGTGAATATAGTTCATTATTCCCCTTGTTGTCATTAAGTCACATTTCAGCTGGAACCGTAGACAAAGATGTGATGAGGCTATGTCTCACGGCACGTGGATGAAGACGGGGAGGCAGATGTTTCATGATGTAACCCCTTCACAAACACTGATCATCTGCGAAAACTCAACGCGATCGCATGCTTTCTTTCCAATCGATATCGGTTCCCACGCCACGCTCACTGCGCATATGCGGAAGCGATCCCATTTTCAATTAGATCTGAGTATTGCAGTGTCGTTTGTCGAGCATTGAGCGTGGTCTCGGGGATTCTGTTGTGACAGTGCTCCCTGTTGCAGGATTCACTGGATGCAGGTCAGGAGATATATGTGTCTTTAGACCTGATATGGAGACCTGAATTCCTGGATAGATCTGTGTGGTTGTCCTTGTCGGGTTTAAGGACTTGAAGCTATGATTTCTATTGACATTATGGACAGGTTGCCCTTCAGTACGGACAAACTCAAGCAGTCAGCGCCATGTGCCTTGAAAATAGCTGGGTAAGTATAATTGTGTTGTACTAAACTATACATCAGGAAAGTCCTGTCTTGACACATGCTAGACATTTTGATACGCCCTTCCCTGCTGCATTTTCTCCAAGCACCGACGGGTTATGGGTTGTCAAAACAAGAGTTGATTATTGGGTATTTAATTCAGACTGTTAACATCGATTGTGCAGCTCCACCGACGCCGTGCAAGATCAAATATTGATAGTGTGTGCATGTTAATCTCACTTAGACTGACTGGTGAAATAATATGGGTTTAGTCTATACTGTCTCTTCAAGCTGCGTCAAGCATTGATAGACATATTTACCTTTTGCCTGACAGCAACGTAATGCTTACGAGGCAGACAATCCTTAAACACATTGACCAAATGGGGCGGTGGGGTAGCCCAGTGGTTAAAGCGTTCGCTCATCACGCCGAAGACCCGGGTTCGTTCCCACATGGGTAAAATGTGTGAAGCCCATTTCTGGTGTCCCCTGCCGTGATATTGCATAAATATTGCCAAAAGGGGCGTAAAACCATACTCACTCACTCATTAACCAAACCTCCAGCTACTGGAACCGCTTGTCGACATATTTCATGGAAATAAAAACAGTCGGAACAGGGAATAGACCTCCGAGGTATTTCATTAAGCACCAAGAGGATTCCTACGTCACGAGTGAGCAGTACCCCCACTTTAACGATCCCCCATTAGGAGGGATGAGGCTGGGAAAACATCAACGTGATTGACCATCATCCTCATCTTGATATGCTGGTCGGCCAAGAGATGTCAAAACCGCCACCCTCTAATACCAGCCGTGTCAGATGGTCGATATCCAGATAGCCAATAAGTAATACAGTAGAACCCTTTAACTCCGGACCTTGTTTGCTGGGGTTAGGTGTTTTTGTAAGAAATCCATGTAAATTCCAGCTTTATCCGTAAAACTATTTGTTTAATCTCTAACTTGATCACCCGGACGCCTTCACGCGAAATGTTACTGTTCATAATAATGGCATTTCACTGACACTGTGTCAAGAAATTAAGGTTTCGTGGAATGGTAATTAAAGTAGTAATAAGACCGTATTACGAATGGTTATGTATACTGTGTAGGTATGAACAGTTTTGAATCACAATGGACGAACGACCCCTATCCGTCATTCTGACCTTTCCCATTCTGTTACCCTCATTGTTGACCCATTGGCATTCATCAGCGTTAGGTGATGAGGAGAAACTCACACAGACACTATGCATAGAGTCGAGGTCACAATCAGTTGAAGTTAAGCAACGTTTATCACAGAGTCCTTGAATAGGTTACCGTGACTGGCAGCTTGACTCTTGAGGGTTTCTAGGACTTCAGTCCTACTAGTCTAGGTAATCGGTGTAAGAATTGCTCACAAGGTGATACTGACTCACCTGATGTCATTCAGGTCACCCAAATTGTTGCTGTAATATGAAAACTACGAGCTAAAATCATCGCTTTCATTCGACATCATGTGAGGTAAAAATGGCTACGAAAAGCCTGTATATCACAGTCCTGTCTTTATTTTACGTGTATGAGCCCAGCACTGCAAGATTGCGACCAAAAATCCAAGATGATCATATCTTAGCAAATACAAAACATGAATTCTGCACGCGGTTCAGTGTCAGCTGATGTCTGGCCAAAGGAACCATCATGAGCAAACTAGATCAGAGGTTATTTGCTGGACAGTAGCAGCAGTATAATGGAGGACATGGGGAGCCCTTTTGAGGAGGAAAGCCAGGACCTTCTGAGGCTGCACCCAAAAGACATCATCGACGACCAGTCAATTGAGTGTCTAACCACTACAGTATCAAAGGGTCAAGAACAGTATGCAACGTTTGTGGAGGATCGATTTAGAATAAATGCCAAGCCAATTAAAGCAATGATTACCAGAAACAAGGTGGTTCTGTTCAATGTTCAAGATCTAAGAAATATGGGGAAAAGGTCAGGCTCCTCAAAAGAGAATCCACACTCTTTGCAAGTCTGTACGTTGCGTGCCAGACATGAGATGGTGATTTAGACAATTTCTTCAGTCATGAAAATCACCCCTTCCCTCCATCTCTCTCTGCCTATGGGCAGTTTCGTCAGGGGAAGAAGTCTGATCTCATGGCTTGTCTTGAACAGAAATTGGAATCATCAGACGATAGGACATCAGGCACTGAAGTGCAAATCGTGGATGGTGCGGCACTTGCTAACTTCCTTAGACCTGAGGGCTGCAAGACACTTGGAGAGTATGCTGCAAAGGTCTTTGTTCCATACATAAATACAGCACAAAATAAGGCTCTGATAGTGGATGTTGTTTGGGATCAGTACTTTGACAACAGTCTCACCCGTGAATGTCCGGGTTAGAAGGAACCTTCAGTAACCCATGCTTGTCGTGAGAGGCGACTAACGGGATCGGGTGGTCAGGCTCGCTAGCTTGGTTGACACATGTCATCGGTTCCGAATTGCGCAGATCAATTCGGAATGCTGTTGATCACTGGATTGTCTGGTCCAGACTTGATTATTTACGGACCGTCGCCATATAGCTGGAATATTGGTGAGTGCGGCGTAAAACTAAACCCACTCACTGATAACAGTCTCAAGGCACAGACAATAGAACAGCGTACCAGTGGCCCTATTCATCGCAGACGAGTTGGGGTGTCTAGCCCCAGACCAAAGAACTGGCAGCAGTTCCTTCGCCTTAGCAACAACAAGACTGACTTGTTCAAATTCCTGAATAATGAACTAATGGCAAATACATCGGCAGACCAGCATCTCATTGTTACTGATGGTGCCAATGTACTATGCTCAACTCCACAAGGCACAAGCAACATTGCTCCCTACAACCACCAGGAAGCAGATTCCAGGATAATGGTGCATGTCAGAGATGCTGCTATGCAGGGCTTCCACGGGACCTTTGTTCGAACTGTAGATACTGATGTGGTAGTATTGGCAGTGGCAGTTGTGCAGCAGCTAGCGCAGACACAACAGATAGAACTCTGGATTGCCTTCGGTTGTGGAAAGGACTTTAGGTAAATTCCACCTTATAAGATATGTGCTTCAGTCGGTCCACAAAGATCCTTGGCACTTCCTATGTTTCACGCTTACACAGGCCGTGATGCTGTGTCCCATCTTGTCCAGGTTGGAAAGAAGACTGCATGGAAAGTCTGGGAGACACATGATGAAGTCACTGAAACCTTCTATGCGCTGCACAATGCACCTGAGCAAATTGCTGAAGAGACAGAGGCTTCTCTGGAGTCCTTCACCATCCTCTTTTATGACAAGACAGCAATGTGTTCTTCCATCAATGAAGTCAGAAAGAACTTATTCATTCACAAAGGACTTTAGATGTCAGGTCTTCCCCCAACCAAGGCTGCCCTACAGCAGCATATCAAGAGGGCAGTATTGCAAGGTGGGCATTACTGGGGCTGCACCACAGTGCCATATCGGCAGTTGCCCTCTCCTGCTGAGTGGAGATGAACAGTGGAAGCCTCATTGGTCAAACTTGCCCGAAGCCAGTGCAAGCAGTGTTCTTGACGGAGCAGGTGTAGCAACTGCAAATGTGCTTGTGCACATCTAAATTGCACTGCCTACTGTACATGCAGGACTGACTGTGACAGTGCCGAAGGTTTTGGCAGTGGCATCCTGGCTTTGACTGGGTTAATGACAGTTACAGTTGCTTTGTCTTCGGTAGTTAGCTGAAATATATTTATGCTGTTAATTTGTATTTAATTTCCTAAAAGAACAATTCCTACACAAAAATAAAATAAAGACCACGCCGTGATATGCAGGCTTTACGTACCATTTTTACCTCACATGGGCTGTGATGTCTTCAACGGGAACGAAGGCGATGATTTTAACTCGTAGTTTTAACTCGTAGTTTTCATATTTTCATTACAGCAACAATTTGGGTGACCTGAATGACATCAGGTGAGTCAGTATCACACATAGTGCTAGTATATAACTTCTTCATTTTTACAGTGATTTTAGAACAAGGAGACAAGATACAGAATCATAGCACCTCACAATTGTTCAAAAACTGCATCGTTGGTGCCAGTTGCTAAGGAAAATGTTTTGCCTAGCAACCGTTGGCTATGCAACACTGAAATCTGAGTGGCTCCACCCCTGAAATTGTTCAGTAGGTTCTTATGAATATTTGTGCCAAGTTTCATGCTTGTATCACCTTGTGAGCAATTCATGCTCTATTTAACACCTAGGGCCTAAACTATAACCCACAATGAGTGAGTTTGTTCATACATTGCCTCTGTTCATCCAGCAGTGAATGGGTACCCGGTGGGATAAGTCATATGATCGTTAACCTTCTTGTGCCTCACAGGCATCTTGGGTTTACCGGGGTTATTAATGTGTCAGCGCCTTGATAACCATGCACAAGTACGTCCACACAGCCGCTTTATGAATTATTATTATATACAAACAGAAACACATACACACAGACACAAATAAACACTCTCACTCACGCACAATATACGTACAGTTTCCTGTAACTAACGTTAAATCCCATCTCCCCCCATCGCTATATAGAGGAGATCTATGTGTCTACGTCACCCACGCTCCTGAGTTATCCGAAGTGGCAGGGTATTGCCCATGATGCATTCATATATTCACTGCCTCTATCTATCACTGCTTTCATCTCGACATCTGGGTTGATGGTTATGTCATGATACTGTGCCATTGTCCGATCAATGACCATTACGTTGCAATATTCTCTACACCCAGTGTCCGTCAAGCTGAAAGGGAAATATTGATATTGATATTAATGGTGGACGTCTCACACAGCTGCCCATTCAGATGTCAAGGACCACAAGGCATCAATCTCTGTGCTCAATACCATTAAATACAGATTGCATAGACTTGTTTATTCACGGTTTATGTAGAATAAAGGCGGCACGAGTGACCCTATCGACTGAGGCGTATCAATTTTAGAGTACAGAGTTCCTTCCCTTGGGCGTGTCAGGATCCTGTAACTGTTATTTCGAATCACATCACGCCAAGTT